TGACATTCAATTCTAAAATTTTCTTCTGTTCTGTAAATACTTTACCACGAAAATAGTGACTATACATTGTTTGATTTATACTTATTGTAGTCATAATGTAGATTGTGTAACTGGCTAATCGCTTTTACGATGATCTTCATTGTTTTTCTCTGGCAGCATTTTGTTGTCATTCTTACACTTTATTCCTGGTGAATCTGTGCCCTGTGTTTATGTTCACGCTTGTAAATCTAGCTAGCTAGTTTTACTAGAGTTTGACTCTGTATATGATTATGGTCCATATTGTACACTATTGCTTGCTAAGTTGATTCATAAAAATTTCATAGAAGTCGGTTGTCAAACAGAATGTTTAATCATCCTAATTACCGATGCTCGTATTCCTGGAACAAACCCATAGATGGTACTTCTCAGACGCTGAACGGAAAGCTTGACGTTGTGAGCAGTATTTGCTGCTGAGCGACATCATCCTGAATATTTCTGTACTCAAGGTTAGTATGGTTAAGTTATAGGTCCTGTTTTTTTTTACGATACACCCAAGATTTACTGGGAAGTGTTAGGTCGCACAGCGATTTGAGAGATTGGGCGAAATGGAATGGTAGTGTGTAAATCCGAAGAGTCGGAAAAAGAATCGCGAATACTCCCAAAACACGTGAGGGCGGTACCGACCAGGTATGGGCCGCTTGGGCAAAGATCGACTTTTCGCCTTTCGCAGCAACTTGTTCGCTGCGGGAACACCTGGTCCACTAATAATCAGGGGTGGACCTGGGGTTCCCACAGTGGAAATCTAGGGCGCTAATACCTAGCTCAGTAATAGCGACACACACCCGTACTGACTAAATCGATGGTTAGCAGCGCTTTATGCGGGATCCCTGATTCTTCAATTCGCGAAGTCTTTCAAAACGCCAGGGTTTCGGAGTGGGTCAGAGCATCTAGGACTTTTTGCACAATCTCCCTATGGCGGAATCATCTGATGTAATCCCTCGATAGCATACTTTTCCTATCCGAAGATTCGCTGTTTCTCCCAAATCTCTCCGTTGCGTTTTCACAGATCGCTGATTTACGAGTGATGCGCAATGCTTATCGTCAGAAGGGAATGGGAATGTTTCATGGCAGCACTTTCTTTTAGTAAGTTTAGTTTTTTTACCCATGAGAGTCCGAAGATGCCATAAACAGTGAAGGTATCCGCTTTGCGACTGCGTGCTTAGTTGGCATGGATAGCCCTCGTTCTTTTGCGCGAAGATAATGTCATGAAACTTATTTTGCACTTCTTGCGTTTCTCCTTCTTCTATTTTATCACTTTTAACTCTATCCTACAGTCGAAGTATTTCTTCTTTTTATTCGGCATATCCTTTCCTTCGTTCGTCAAATTTTACAGCTATTATATGAAGAGAATTTCTTTATTTTTTCTTCTACTTATGTCATACTTTTGTTGGTAGTGCATAGTAGTGTGCGTCGGAATTCCGTCGTTCTCGCTTGTGCAGAAGGTTCCAGTATTTCCAAATAATCCACGTCGAAACTATCCGTATTATGAAGAACATCACCATTAAGCTTCCCATCACGACTCCGAATGTACGGGCTAAATAAGGTGTATTTTAGTGGAAGACCTTAACAGTTCTGTTAAACCCTCTCAGCGCTATTTCTTGCTATGTTTTCCACGGACCGACGAAATGGGTGTGTTTGGCAAAGGGTGAATTAACAGATTATCTAGCTTGTAAGGGGGAATATGCGATTGAGTCATTTTCCGTTGTTCTGGAGGAGCAAAAAGTCACCGAGACTTACCAAGAAAAGCCAAGGGTCGCAACTGACAGGAAGGATTGGTACGTAGTGGTATACTTTTCATCACCGCTCGGGCGTTGTATGTTTAGAGGAAAGAAGAGATTTGTAAAATCCTTCTGTTCCTGTCTTCTCGTTTCTCGCATACCTAATCTCAGGCTCCTTGACTTCTTTCACACTTGAAGGCGTGGTCGCGGCGAGCACAGACGGGACGGCAGCAGTTTTCGCGCTTCAATGCAGCCCCCCCCTCCCCAGCAGGAGCGCGACCGACCCGTCACAGAACCCTAATCTTTCTTCAACTCTTCAATATTCCGCTTCTGATTTTTAGAGGGTGGGAAACAGGAAATGGTCACCAATCACGGGTGTGGTTAAAACAAATGGGTTGAGATTTGGTAATTCGAATGCATTCTGGGGAAACTCTTCAAATCTTATTCTAGTGAAATAAGGGATATGATGTAAAACGAGAAGTTGCTCGTACCATTGAAGTCCGCTCCTTTGTAATTGATCAGTTGGTCATCTTTAGCCTTTGGATAAACAGCCAATATGAAGAATCCTGTCGTCATACATAAATCCCATATCATTGTCAGACACTGCAACATTATACTCAAAAGAGCTCAGAGAGGGTGGCAATTGTTTGTTTTCAATTCACGTTACCCTTCGAGGTTAAGCGATCCTCGAAGTCAGTAGAAGTCTCACCATAAAAGCTTAGCCCTTACTGCATTTGATGTTTCTGCCTTTTCTGCTCACGCTGTGACCGCCTCGATGAGGTAGTTAGATACGAACTATTTAATACGTTATTTCTCATAGGGCACATTTTGTGCAGACCTAGCAACGCACACTGCATCAGGAGGCATCAAGAGTATCAGGAAGTGGTGATATCGTCCTTTCGAAGTGGTCGCTGCGCGTGCAACTGGGAGTTCCCAGCCGTAGGCAACAATGAGTGTTCAGAACGATATAAATTCCGATACTGGGCATGTCAAAATTGCAGCCAAAATAACACGTTCGGCAAAAAATTGACATCACATTTAGACGCTCTTGATGTTATCTGATGCTACGATTGTAGCCAATTCTGCAATTACGACCTTCCAGTGCTGGGAAACATTAAAAAAACATAATACGTATTGTGAAGTAACTTACGAGGAATATGAGATGAGTTTGGAGTAACCGTGGTTTCTCCTTCCATACGCCAACCGCAGCGACTACTATTTGTAAAGCAAGAAGGAACAGATTGACGCTAATAATTACAACACTCCCTGTAAAATCATTTTAAATTTTGCATCACCAATAAAAATAATAGGCTAGTTTGTCTCAAAGGCACTGAATGCGATGGCTGATAGGCCTAACTAATTTGAAGACATCATCAATAGAAAGGCTTTTGGAGACAGTTTACAAGTACTTCTATCCACTAGCGGACCTTTCAGACTAGCCATGCCTCCCTGCCATTTCGGTCTCGTTTCCATGGTTCTACAAAGATCTAGAAAACGGGTGCATGGCGCAGCACAGCTCGCGTAGCTGACCAGTGCTATCTAATCTTTCATATAACGTGACTAATTCTCTTCAAACTAACATGCTTGTCGATGTTTAACAATAGCGAATACAAGTATTAGGGAGTAGTAGAGCCAGTAGAGGATTTCGTATAGCATACATTATACGAAGTTATTTAGGGGTTAGGGAGAGCAGTAGAGGTCTCTAGAAGATAACGCGCGTTTGCGCCCTAAAATGATCACTTTTTTGCATAAGTGGCATAACAAGTTGTGATGAGGGTTTGGTGAAAAGGTGTGGAGCAGAAATTACACAGAACCCGCCTCGGTTTGAAACCTCTCCATAATCGCTCCAATATAATGCGTTTTTTTGTTGACCCTTCTTTCGATTTGAAAGTTAAAATGAGAGAACTATACCTAGAATTCTGCTCGGGAGCCCAATAAGCGGTGCAAAGTTCAGGAGAAGGGTCGATTTCCAGATGTGCGCCATGCTTCTTTTCGCTGTCTTAGCGAGGTATTGGATTGCTGTAGCGTCAGAAGACGAAACTTTGGGCAAATGTTCAGTCCACTTATCATTAGAATGCCATGTCATATAGAACCCTATATAAATGGGGAAACTATTGATTGCTATAGGGTTGAACTATTTTCGTCGTACAGGGCTGAATCGTAACAGGTCGACTTAGTACACCTTCTCACTGTTTCGGATGAATTTGAGATACAGTTCAGACATGTAATGACTCAATTCATAGCACTTGTTTGAGTTATTTTAGTAGACTGTTATACCTAACGACTGAGTAGTAGTATATTTATTATCGGGAACACATATATACCTCATAGACCGAATTCAAAGGAGCGTGCACTCAGAACGAATTCTCGAGAATTTCAAAGAAGAGTTTTGCACGGGGCTACGAGCGAGTTCAAAATGTATTAAGAGAAGTTAAACTTCAAAAATTGGACTTCCATAGAAGAGCTAAATAGGCGATTCTCACTCATACCTATACCATTTTAAATGAACAGGTATTTCAATCGTGGAGTGCTATGTTTCAGAAAGTCAAGATCAGCGACAAAATCCACTCTCTTCTCATTCTAGCGTACTTCCATATTTTGATCATTTTTGGATTTTGTAAATTGGCTCAAGAAGACCGGTGTATCATTTGAGACTTAGTGACTCGACAGCCATTCTGGGATGTTGGCGCCTCGATAGATTTTTCCACCGGGTCGAAGTGAACTTTTTTCATTCTGAAATTCGGAGTGTCATTTTCATTTATTCAGAGCATCTTATCATCGTTATGGAAAGGGAAAGTTCACTGCAGCTAGGGTTAGAAGTAGCGCTTTGTTTGTATTTGGCTCACTATAGTCGACTATACAGACTGGTGTGTTTTCGACAAGAAAGGCAATCATTGCTACGATTGGGGCGGTCGGCTGAAGAAAAGCAATGGATTGTCAGAAAGCTGGATTGAGGAGCTGGTCCGCTGCTATGATCCATAAGCTATTTAGTGTGCGGAATAGTAGGAATGAAGAGCACCAGAGAGGAAGAGTAGTAGGCGAGAGAGCACGCAGATGAGAGCGCCAGGCAACAGCATACTACGTACGAGAAAATGAAGAGGTTGAAGCGATTTTTGCAAGCCTCCAGGCACCCTTGATGCGAACTTCGGAGCTTTGAGCGGACATTTGCAGTCTCTGTGAGCAGCTCTATCCTACACAGTGAATGGATTCATTTAGCGAGTTCTTTGTAGATTGCGCCGTTAGTGAAGCCATTAAATATGGTGTTTGTCGGGCTCGAAATGTGGCTGCGCTAGAAATTGTCTGTTTTGTGGCGATGGTTGGTGATTCAGCCACAAGGTCTTGGTGCTGAAGGGTTAGAAGACGCGGCGTGTCGCAAACATAGTGTAGGAACGAACCCCGCGTGCGGACTCTTTTCTTGCGATATATAGCATTTGAATGTGGAGATGTTACCCGGAGTTTTTGAGCATTGGAATTCGTATTTGAAGACGAGAAGAAAGGGTGAGGACCTGCGATTATTCATGGATATCTCATTTTGGTGGATTCTATTCGTTTTTGGGGGGTCAGACTGTAGGCTTGTAGGATCATCACAATACTAGGAATTGAATTGTATGATAATTTCTTCACATTCGCATATCTGGCCCATGCGGAAATGGCTGCAGTGGGGTTATAGAATATCGTTGTTGATAGATTGGTGCGACTCAATAGATTGAACTATCAAGCTCTACCGTTGGTCAGTGAGTAGAGCTGAATAGGTTCAACGTTTCTAAGCACCAATTCGTCTGATATTATCAACGTCGCCCTATACATGAGCTGTTCTTTACAACTTAGGACGCTCATGTCCGTAGGGGGGGGGGACATTGAAGTGAGTGAGACACTAACAGGACTGCTCTTAGGAGGGAAGATATTGTGGGGAGACCTGAGCCCTAGTTTTGTATTCCTCCTTCTACTTAGGCTTAGTCCTTCGTGTAATACCAGCATTTTTAAGCGCTCCTTGTAAAAGACCTAGAGATATATGAGCGGGTCAAACTCAGTTATTCCTTGCCTTCATGCTCTATGGTTGACCAATGATGCCGCATCACAGACTTGATTAAGTGATGATTATGATTGTGGGTGGATCGAACGAATCAATCGGACGTTTTTATAATAGCCGGAAAAACTTGACAGAATTTATAGTAGAACAGCTGAATTGATCTGACCGAGAGAGGGAGGAGAGAAGAGGAGAGAGAGGGAAAAGAAGACAAGGAGAAATAATTCAATGGCGTTCATGTCCAATTTAAACAGCTGAAATATCAATTCACACACTCAATTTGAAGTTTTCAGCTGTGAAAAAAAATGAATTGGATTCAAAAATCCTCTCTGATCGAGCGGTCTAGCGGTTTAGCGATTACCGGATGAATACAGAATTTCAATTTCTACAACCATCACAATGAGGTCCATGTTTTGGACCGTGTCTTCTGTATATTTTTATGCGAGTAGAAAGAAGGGGGCAGACATATCGGACATATCAAAATTAGATAATTTTGTGATATCATGGTTGTTTGAAAAAAATCTTCCCGAAATGTTATCAGCTGACTAAACATTTTCAGTGATGTAAGAAATAGCGAGTTAGAAGAGCTTATACGACTGTGAAGCTGTGCTGTGGGTGTTCAGACGTCAATAGTCGCTTGAAGCTGATAAGGAGAGGCCTGGGTGAGTAACGTGTTTGCACAGTGAGGTACGACCTTGCCGCCAGACGAATTTTATGGCAAGGCTCATGGAGGTGTTCGGTGTCCCAGTCAGAACGGGATGTCCTCTCATATGGGTTTGGTCTAGGAGTAGTTACGCAAACGCATCGTCGTGAATCGAATGAAGCCGAAAAGGAGATAACGAGGAAAATTGGGTGTGTGAATAATGGACGTGCCGTTCACGCTGACTCCCTCGAGATGCTATTTTGTTGCCGAAAAAATGCGTCTCTTGAGGTGTTACTGCTCCAGTCCTGAAAGTCTTAGAAAAAATATTCGCCGGCATTTAAGGGGAAGTGTAGGAATGAGGGAACTACTAGGCGACTTGCTTGATTCTTCTGAGAACGCTAAGAGCTACTCTTTGAGTGGAATCATCGAGCGTTCAAGTCCAGAGTGCTGTGTCTCTCGCATGCAATATCTGGGCCGCATTTTGTAGAACGTGAAAATACTTGAATGTCGATTTTCGATTTATTATACAATTGGCCAGCCTGATGAGGTTCGTGTTTACACCCTCTTACCTTGTACAATTACTCTCTCATCAGGAAGGTCTTTCAGGGCGTTCCAAGCTTTTTGAAAACGGTCTTTTGCATGATATAGGGGCACATGCGGGAACCACAGAACCATGTTTAATTTTTCCTGAACGGCCCTCTGAATACCAGAAAAGGGGTCCCTAGTTCGATTCCTCGTGGTGACAAAATTTTGCATTTCGAGTTG